GATTTATTCGTTTTTAAACTTTATTCGTTTCAGATCGACTCGAAGCCGGAGGTGCAGCGCGTCGCTGAGCACTTAGCGAAGGAGATTTCAGAAATGCAGGAACACCTTTGCCAAGTGGCTGCTCCAAACTCGAAGGCAGACGAACTGTAAGTCGATGTTTGCTTTAAAGCGCTTACTGATTAGTGGGTTTGCCGCAGAGGAGGGTAGCGGGGAAACCGGTTAGTAGTTTGCTTTACACTTTAGTATTGCGGAGTTGAAACTCAAAGCGCCTAGTAAAATTTCTCGTACAAACTGTTACATTCCTGGAGGAATTTGACCCACTCTGCTTCAGTACAGTCGGTCTAGAAGCGGGTAACACATCGTAGATTTGCTACAGTTAATACGATGGTCATGACACAGCGTATGGCATATTTAGTCATGCCCTTCGCTGAAACTGCAGATTGCTGCTGCAGTTCGCCCTAACTCATCTAATTTGCCGAAAACGAACAAAAATTTCGACGGTGAATAAAAATAAGAGTAATTCTAGACTGGAGGGCGCTCGCGAACGCCTCGCAGAAACGTCAGAGGAATTCGAACAGGCGAAGAGAAAGGCGAAGAAGGCAAAGCTGGAGTTCGAAAAGATCAAGAAGGAGCGGTGCGACCGCTTCAATAAGTGTTTTGAACACGTTGCAGGTCACATAGACGGCATTTACAAGGTAAACGGCCTCGCTGAAGTGTGAAAACGTGGTGATTGAGATAAAAAATATAACGCTTTCCGAGAACGTTGTATATTGTAACGTATAATGTATAATGTTCCATATTTTTAGACTGTAGGCTTCACCGCTGTCAGCAAGCTTTGTTGACGCTGACTTTTGTTTCTTGGCTTCACTTTGACTACAGAGTTGGCTTAGAATGACTGATACATTCTTCCATATAGTTCTGCCAACGAATTTACCAATTATGCAAGACGCGGCGCTCAGTATCTTGAAAACTACTCTGGATCGAGAAAGGCAGAAGTAGGCGTTTGATCCGAGACTGCCTAAATCGAACAGAGTTCTGGACGGGCTACTTCTGCTCTGATTTCATTGCTTGTAGATTCATCCAGTAATGACTAAGACCAGTCACCCTGCTTCCGTTATGATTCTGTCCAATCCCGGTTCTTATTTTATTCACTGCATCATCGAATCATGTGGAAAATCTTAAAATGCTTTCGGATACCGCAGCATATCTTCTGCATTTTACAAGATATATTAGAAGGAACCACTTTTGCTGCAGTGGAGCTGACCGGAAATCCTGCTCCGTGGACTGTTCAGGTGATACTATATATATGAGTAGTGGATCACGATTACGGCTATAAAATGAGCACTTTATGTATTTTCCCCGAAATTCAAATCGCTGCTCCGATCCAGTTGCCCATTAGCCACAATGGGGATTATCGATATCATCATCATCGAGGTTGAGAAACTGCTAAATAATGCTCATTTCGCAAACATCTCATTTAGTCTTTATTTCTTTAAAGAAACATGCAAATTGTGTAACGTTACAAATGCTGCAGTATAAGACTTTGGAAATCGTTCGTTTCTACAGGCATATTATGAAATACCGATTAAGTACGTTTGAAAATTCCGAACGGGTAATTGTTGATTCTTTGCTCCATAGAATTACCGTTCCTGATTCAGACGGTTAAAAGCTAATGAGGTAAGAACGTAGCGCTGATGTTTAGGCGAGGCTATACAACTAGCATCATCAGCTTACAAAATTATACAGAAATAGAGAAGATAAACGGATCGCCGGATACAATCTTTGCGCACCAACAGGAGGCTAGACGAATACACTATATATAGGTGATGGTAACCTAGAACTGCTTATAGCCACTATTCAGGTAAGATGCCCAGGTCGAAAATTATTGTCTGAAAAAGATCTGCTCATCGAAAATCATTGCCAAAGAAGGTATCATTGTGAACCGTGTCGTAGACGACACAAGTCAATAAAAGATATGTGGATTGCCTTCCGTAGAGTCTCTAACCCATTTCTTTCCTGCGCTAGTTACGAGTTATTTAACTTTCAAGCTGTCAAGAAAGACAAAAACACTAGCAAAGAATTAGTTAGTTCACTGCACATAAGAGGTACATGAAACTCTTACCACTACCTCACCAGTCGCCAACATCTTCACGTTGTTCAGACGTAATTTGAGTCTCGCCGCTGTAAGTTTCGCTGGTATGTTCCGCTTTGACAAGCCATTCATTGACGTTTCACTCTTTTAGTCTCTGTCCAGAAACACAAGTGCACAGGCTTATTTGGTGCCTGAGAATCCGGAGGAGCCGTACCTTGAAGGTGTATCGTATAACTGCGTGGCCCCCGGAAAGAGGTTTCGGGCGATGGACAACTTAAGCGGAGGAGAGAAAGCGCTGGCCGCTCTGGCGTTGTTGTTCGCCGTCCACTCTTACAACGCGGCGCCCTTCTTCGTTCTGGACGAAATTGACGCTGCTTTGGACAACACGAACATCGGAAAAGTAAGGGTTTTGACAGATATTTGGACACAGGCATGGATCAACAGAGGTTCTTAATCCTGTTATTATTTTTTTCAGGTCGCCAGATTCATATGTGAAAAATCAAAGGAAAACATGCAGTTGATCGTCATATCACTGAAGGAAGAAACATACAATCGGGCCGACGCGTTAGTCGGCATCTACCCATTGGTAATAATTATCATTATTAATTAAAAGCTCGTGATCCCATAGTTTTGTCTCCATTTTTACATGTTGTCAAAATACAGTCGGTTCTCTTCAAAACCCTTCAAAAACGTGCTAAATAAATCCATGTTTGTGAAATATATTTTTAGTTTTTGAAATAAGTTTCCGTATATCCAGTGTTTTAAAATACAAATATCAGGTACTTATAGCTTTCGATGCTTAAAGCATGAGCTTGCATAACGCAAGTACGTGTTACTGAAAGTTGTTGATTGTTGCATGATGCTGACTATGTAAACGTTAAAATCTCACAATACCTACTGACTGTATTTGTGTAGACTGAATCAATCTGTGTATAATAATCAGTCGATCAGTAAGTCAGTCACAGCTGTGATGGTTTGGGCGCGTCTTGCGAATGCTTTCAGAAAGGAAGGCGAAGCAGCTACTATTTAACCGACCGGCCAACACCCCCAAGATGGTCAAGAATAACCTGAGGCAAATATATGGAAGGCTGTACTCCAGACTCAGGTTATCTCCTGCATGAAAGTCCAACGCTGGCACAGGATCGCGAAAGTTGGGAACACTGACTGACAATGTAGTAATTTGTTTCAAAAAAATTCCCACTCACGTACTTGCTATCGTGGCTATGCGCTTTGATCTGCCTGCTTATTACGACCGCATTTTTCTTCGGTCATATTATAGTAGTCATGAAAGCCAGATATGAAATTTAGACAATAAGGACAAACAGATTCGTCGTGTGTTTAAGGCAAATTTTTGCAGAAGTATATTTTAGTTAAAAATCCGGACACAGCTATAGCGGAGGACTATCACCGTTGTCCATCTCCAAACAAGGCATGTGTGCTAAGATGTAATGTAGTCTATTAACAGAGCAGATGTTGATTAGAGAAAAATTTTTATTAAGTGGAAAATCTTATCTAATTTAATCGACACATTATTTAGATGGAAGAAATCAACTGCAGCCAAATACTGACCTTAGACTTGACCCAGTACAACGACATGGTGGAAGAGACACAGGCAACTGCTACCGGCAGCGAATCTTTTCGAACCACGGAACTATCATCAATCGAGATGGTCAGATGATACGCCCTTTATGCTGTAGTTTAATTTGTAGACAACTGTACTTGTATGTTTACATTCTTTGTGAAATTTGTATTCTTCTTCCTTTTTAACCTGTAACCTCTAGTTCGCTAAAGTATCAGTAATAAGGTACTAACTCGGGAACTAACTTTCTTGTATAAATATACAAATGAATTAGGGGGTTTCGATGTTGATAGCGAAAACTGAAATTCATGTAACAACCTAGTAAGTCTTCTGCGGAACCCTTTCAACAGGCTACGGATTCGTGATGTTTTAACATTTGCGTTGCATGGGCGCAAAATAGCACCACTATGTTGGATCGAACCAAAGCATGTCCGTATACCAACGAATATACCTCCATCTAAAGGAATATATAATAATAACAAATATACTTCTGAAATCGTCGGTCAAACTTGCGCAACAAGAAACCGGAGACAAGTCGATCAAGTTCATATCCGGGAATGGAAAAAAAATAACGATTTACAATCGGCGGAACGAACTTTACACTATTTCAATGCAACTGAAATTACGTTGTCTCCCCTAACGAAAAGCTGAGGCAAGTGCCGAGTCAACTGTTGAATTCTTGACGAAACTTTAAGGCCGGGTTCGTAGCGAAGATTCGCAGGCACAATTTCTAACGGTAGCTTGGAGGTAGTGCGAAATTTTCTGATACGCTTTGGGCAGTAGTACACTTCATCGACGTCATGCAGGGCCAGATTCCAGAATTTATCGAACGCGACGACCGTCGCTGCTAAGACGCTGTGTACGCCATCGCGACTACGTATCCTCACTTCGACTCTCTCCTTTTGCTCCACCCACGAGCACAGTGCAGCCAGCGGGCCACGATACAAGTGTTTGGCGATCGCCGAGAGAAATGTCTTGGCAGGACGACGAGGAGGCTTTGCTGGAGTTGGTGCACCCATGAGTGCCAACCTGCGCTCCGCCGGAAGAGGAAGCTTCTCAAACGGTGCAATCATCGTCGGAACGCGTCTCGCTTCTTCCGCTAGAAGTTCGGCAACGATTTCCGGGTCCTTCTTTCGAAGATGATCCTCGAACGAATCCACATCTGCAAAACACATCACGTTCGGCATCGCTTTGACGTCCTCGGCATGGAGCAAAGCTCTCGGGTCAAAATCATCAGCTGCAAGCTCTTCCATAATCGTTCCGCTGGCAGGTTAACAGACGAGGATGCCGGGGCATTACATTTTGCAGTATAGTAAATTCTGCAAATTCATTAGTCAAACAGACACATCATACAAACCTCGCGTAAACTGTAGAAACATGTTACAACGGTACAAATAATTTTCAGCCACAGAACTTACTTTTTCTTCATAAACTATAGAAACTTAAAGTCAACAATAACATGTTAATGGTTAAATTGCTAAACCGTTCATACCCGTGGCTGTTGCTGCTTTTTTATCATCACTGTTAATGGTATGAGTGTTGGCAGAGCCTCTTTAGCTTGTCATATCTACTGTATTCTTAACTTTTAAACCCTTTCGTACAAGCGAGCGTTGCAACGTCAGAGGGACTTGTTACTTTCCGAATGCAGATCTGTTCCTTACAGCATTCCGGCTTTGTCATATACGATTATGAAATGACTGCAACCAATCAATCAGTAAAACTAACCGAGAACAAATCAAAACACTTCAGTAGACTTCCGTAAAGTATCCAAGGTAAAAACACTTGAAATAGTTAAACATGAAAACAAGCAGTGAAAGTAAGTTGTCGGAATACGCATAAATTAAAAAACGGCGCTATCGTGGCAAATCCAGTCTCTGCCGCAATCAGTCTACTTATAACATTGCAACACTAACAAAGAAAATTATACAGCACTTCCTGGCACAACTTTCAAATATAGCACATAACACCATACGCAGAGGAAGATTGGTATGTTACACTGTGCCATAATGACATTACGTATTTGTACGTAGAACATACCACCGACAACCGAGTGAAGTAATGTGAGTGAAACCAGACTCATGAAGTTAATAACAAAGTTTATTTACATTAATAATAATAACGACAGCGAAAATACAGAGTGCAAAAAAGGAAAAATAAGTCACTACGCCAGTAGCACTATTGCACCGCTCTATTGATCTTAGACTCATAGGGAGGCATTTAGGCAGGTCACGGATAAGGTGGTAATTAAGCATCTGGAGTGCAATTAACGCCGAACGACGTATCAAGCTTGAGTTGAACAAATAAATATTCAATACAATAAGATTGCAACGATCCGTAAACAAATAGGTGATAAAATTTGATCCCATTTCCTGGGGGTGCTTTCAATACCGCTGCTGAATGTATTGCAACCGGCGGGATGGTGTGCAAACAGGATGGAGAATCTGGTCTCTACGCAAGGTATCATAACCTCCATATTGACATAATAATCTTCCACTTCCAACGCTGATTGTCCCCTTTATAAGCCTGCGGATTCGTTCTTCATCCTCGGGACAAACCTACATTGACATATTTGCTGTACTTCTGGTACAATGTGTGCCATTCCCTTGAGGAAAGCTCATGCGACGTTACATGCAGTAACTGATTTGACCGTTTCGTCGATTATGACTCTGCAGACACCTTCAATATCCGTAGACAGTATCGACGGCAGTTTGTCCGTTGTTTCGCAGCCATCAGAAGAAAACGTTATTCGCGCATTGCCAGAAGTAATTGAAAAAGCTCAGACAGAGCTGGAAAATCGGTTATTCGAGGCTTTGCCGTCACCAGAGAAGTCAACCGAAGATCTGTTGCCGTCAGCGCCATCAGTTGAACTGCACAATTCTGAGATGAAGCAAAACCTCATGAACTGGAGAAATACGAACTTCGAGAAATCCTGTGAAATGTAGTTGGCGTTTCTGAAATACGAATCAAAAGTCAGACGATATCGGAACTCAGAGATTGACTTTTACGCCGTCATACACATGGTCAGTGTTTAAATAGCACTGGTAAAATAGCAGTTGTGAACGTGCGCCTAAAGTAGAACGAACACGAAAACTAAAGTGTACGCCGTCCCTGTCAGTGGCAGAAACAATCATCGCTACATGCAGACGACGTCGAACTCGCTTGCCAAAATTAGAAACTGCCAGACTGTGTGACAGTTCCACCTGAAACGGATGGATCGTTTGACGAAGGAGGTATTAGCATGCGTCATGAACCGTCCAGTGGTTGCAGGCGCGCAATGTAGAATGACCTTACGGCTATATCACAATCGTTAGGAATGCCGCTCTGTGCTCATGGTCGATCGCTTTGCGGCGTTTTGCAGCTATGCACCGCTCAATTAAAGAACGAATAATTGCAGTTGTTTATGAACAGTTTTAATGGAATTGATTATGAAATCGAAGATGATGCTGAAACCGGTGACGGAAATTGAAGCGTTTGATGGACAGGCCATAAGTGAAATAAAAATCGGATCCATCGGACTTCCGTTCATAGGCAGCACCGGCGCAATTCGACGAATAAGAGAACTTCATGATGATTCAAAAATGACTTCATGAAAGACAGAACAAGCTGATAACCTTATGAATATAGATAACCTTCTATGCTTGGTCCACACTTGAATTTGGAGCCCTTCGGTTTCATTTGTGCTCATTCCTCGCGGAGGGCGAGCGGTACACCATACGTTAAAGCCACGTCTCTGGTCCTACGTGGGAGACAAGAGCTTGCCGTTTTGTTCGCTTCACGTCTAAAGTAGCGTTAGAAGGGGGCGGACAGGTGGTCGGCGTGGACTGAGTCTAAGTGCCTAAATATCGTAACAAACGGACGAGCGGCTTTTCGCTTATCGTTGCAATATTGCTTTGAAAATAATAGTGATTCTTTGGTGTCTTGAATCATGGTGGGTGGCACAGTAGTGCTACTGGTGGAGAGTGAGAAATACATTTTTCCTTCTTACATTGTACACTTTAGCGGTGAATCCAGTTTCAGGGTTATCTTTAATGTTATTTCTTCAGCGGCGGTATCGAAAGCTCCCCTAGAGCAACAAGGCAACATTATGTCACATTATTTATCTGATTTTGGTTAAGTAGTAAATTATGAAAATCTCATTTGCGTTACTACAATTGAGACTGAAACACCTAGCTCAGAACAAAATTCCCTTGTTCACTGCTAATTTCCTTTAGCATGGAATCTGTCGAATACTCTCACTGGACTGAACTATTAGAGAAACGTATGAGCAGTTTAGATGCTTCGAATTTTTCGAGTTGACTTTATGAACATGAAAACCGCTTTTCTCTTCGAAGTACTGTAAAGATATGAATGTCAGTGCCAGTCTCGTTCGTAACAATGAGCGACGGTTCGCCGGTCGCCGTTGGGTTTACTTTAGTTATGTATGCCTTCTGGAAAAAGTGCTACAAGTCAT